CTCCGCAGCAGAACGGCATGGCTAAACGGGAGATGCGCACGGTCGTAGAGTCCGTGCGGACGATGCTGCTGCACATGGGCGTGCAGCACCACTGGTGGCACCTCGCTCTTCGACAGGCTGTATGGGTGCGCAACTGCTTGGAGCGGTCGACGACGCCGCCGGGGACGACTCCGTACCAGCTGCTGACCGTGAAGAAGCCCGACCTCACGCTGGCGCGGGTGTGGGGCTGCATGGTGCAGTTCATGATTCCCGAGCAGCAGCGCTGTGGGAAGCTGGCGCCAAAAGCTCGTTGGGGGCTTCACCTGGGTGTGTCGCCGGAGAGCAAGGGCTGGGAGGTGCTCGACCTGCCTGACAACAAGGTGGTCACGTCAGTCGAGGTGATCTTCTATGTGACGCTGTTGCTGGAGGTGTGGAAGGCGAAGTATGGGCCGGCGTCGGGGCGGACGCAAACACACCCGCCGACGGACTCCTCGACGGCGACGGTTCCACTGCTCGCCGAAGTCGACGAGCCTGCTGATGAGGATGTTGTGGAGGTTCTTCCACCTCCCCCTGTTCTTGCTCCTCCCTTCCCCGTCGCGGATCGTCCTGCGTCAACGCCTGTGTCGGCCGCCGCCGATGAGGGGAGCCTTGAGGCGTCGCCTGTGGCGCCGGCCAGTGGCATCGCCGGCGGTCGACAAGGCGCCCAGCTCGTCGACCAGGATGAGCAGCCGGGGCGGTCGACAGGGGAGCCAGTCGAACAGGAGGCAGCAGCAGGGGTGCAGTCGACAGGGGAGCAGCAGCCGGGGCGGTCGACAGGGGAGCTGTCGAAGTCAGCAGCAGGCGAGCAGCCGGTCGAAGGGTCGAAGCAGCTGGTCGACGACGAGGGCGTCGATGAGGAAGGGGAGCAGTCGGCGGGTGAGGAGTCCACTGACAGCGACGTGGTGGAAGTGCTGATCACCAAGCCTGAGCTGCGACGCACAGGTCGACCTCGACGGCCGCCGGAACGGCTGAGCTTCCACGCCTGCCTACCGCCAGCTGCCTTCACCACGGTGTACGATGAGGTCGACGACGACCTGTTGTACGACGACGCCGAGGAGGATGAAGATCTGCCGGAGCTCGACCCCGACGTGCATGCCGACCCCGAACACCGCTGGGACATCGCCACGATGACGGTGAAGGAGGCGCTGGCGAGCTGGAAGGGCGAGGCGGTGAAGGCCGCAATGGAAGAAGAGATCTGCAGCCTCATCGGCATGGGCACTTGGGAGCTGGTCGAACGCCCACGCGGGGTGAACATCATGAAGAACCGGTGGGTGTTGACGACCAAGTACCGCATCGACGACACCGTCGAGCGCGAGAAGGCGAGGTTGGTCGTGAAGGGCTTCACACAGGTGTACGGCGCCGACTACGACGAGACGTACTCGCCGGTGAGCAGCTACGTCACGCTGAGGATCTTCCTCAGCATTGTCGCCGTCCTCGACCTCCACTTGATGCAGCTCGACATGAAGAACGCTTTCCTGCAGAGCAAGCTCGACAGAGTGCTCTACATGTACCAGCCGGACTACTTCGACGATGGGACCGGCCGGGTGTGTAAGCTGCTGAAGAGCCTCTACGGGCTGAAGCAGTCGCCGCTGCTGTGGTACAGGGCTCTCGACGGTGTGCTGCTGGGCGCTGGCTGGAAGAAGAGCCAGGTCGACGAGGCGCTCTACTTCAAGGCCGGTGACGACGGAATGACCTGCTGGGTGCTGGTCTACGTCGACGACCTGCTTGCCGCCAGCAGCAGCACCTTGATGCTGAAGGAGCTGAAGGAGCTGCTGGAGGCTGCCTTCGAGCTGCGCGAGATTTCGCTGGTCGTCAAGTACCTCGGGCAGGAGATCGTGCGCGACAGGCCAGCGAGGAAGTTGTGGCTGCACCAGCAGAACTACGCCGACAAGCTGCGTAGGCGCTTCATCGACGAGGAGCAGGGCGGTCGAATTCCGAAGACGCCGGTCTCGGTCGACGCCTACGCTGAGCTGACGTTCGACGACGAGGAGGCGCAGGAGCGCGAGCAGGAGGAGTACCGGCAGAAGGTTGGCTCGCTGCAGTTCGCGGCGACGACGACGAGGCCGGACATCTCCTTCGCCTGCAGCAAGCTGGGGAGCGGCCTCACAGTGAGGAGCGACTAGAACTGGCGCGAGGTCGACCGCTGCCTCGCCTACCTCGCCGACACCCGCGACACCGCCCTGGAGTTCGGCGGTGGACCAGAGTCGCTGGAGCTGATCGGCTATGTTGACGCCGATGACGCGGGCGACAAGCAGAACCGGACGAGCACGGGCGGCTACGTGTTGGTCTTCGGAGGGGCCGCGATCTCCTGGTCGAGCCAGCACATCAAGTGCGCGACGCTCTCCTCGACCGAGTCAGAGTATGTCGTGGCCACGGACGCTGGCAAGGAGGGGCGTCGACTGCGCTTCCTCCTAGCAGAGTTCAAGCTGCTCGACGCTGGGAAGTCGACCGTCCTCCGCGTGGACAACAACTCGGCGATCACGGTCGCTGAGGGCTTGGGGCTGACGGGCAACCTCAAGCACATGGAGCGACGCTACGCCTGGCTGCAGCACATGGTGAGGCGCGGGAAGTTCGTGCTGAAGTACATCCCGACCACCGAGCAGCCGGCGGACTTCCTGACGAAGGCGCTATGTTTTCCGGCTTTCAACCGGTGTTCTGTCGCCATCGGCCAAGTACGTATGGCCAACGTCGGCGACAGGGACGATGATGTGCGGCAGTAGGTGCCGTTCCCTTCTGCACGGCTGGTGCGGTGACGGCGTGCTGTGTATGGTGTGCACGCCGAGGACAATTTTTCTCCGTGGAGTACTGCCGTGTGGGCTGGAGGCCCAAGCGTGAGCGCGTCAGGGGAGTGTTAACGGGAATGGAGTGTTGGCCCCGCCCTCGCTTGGGCAACGCCGACGACTTGGTCGGATGTACGGGAGTGGCAGCCGAACGTTCACAGTGGGAGAGCTGCTCGACAGGCTTGGTCGAGCTGCAGGGGACCGCTGTGGTGTTGCTGTCAACCAGAGAGCTGCAGCTGACTGGTCTGGGCGACGGGTGGGCCGTCGACCAGGAGGGGCAGTTTGACCGGGAGGTCGACGGAGCAGTCCGTCGACCTGCAGTTCGACAGGGAGGTCGACGGAGGAGTCCGTCGACCTGACAAGTGAGCAGTGGTCGACGAGGGGAGCTAGGCGACAACAACTGACAGTTCTGGTCGACGGAAGGGGTCCGTCGACCAGGGGGTAGCTCGACAGGAGCTGTGGTCGACCAGAGGCACCTGGTGGTCGACCAGAGGGACCCAGTGGTCGACCAAAGGCACTGGTGGTCGTCCGGAGCACTTGGTGGTCGACCAGGTCGACCGGCTAACCTGCTCGACGAGTTCTGCGGAGGCACGCGAACGTCGTCGAGGTCGCGATGGCGAAGGCGACTTCGGGCTGGTATCCCGAAGTCGATGTGGCTCGTCAGGCGCAGACAACAGCCGACGGATGCACAACGGTGCAAGTCCGGCCAATCGTCTGCGCGCACCTGCGAGCGTGCGCACTGCTGTCTTCTACGGGGCAACGCTGGACAGCCGCTTTGCTGCAGCGTTGGCACGCCGTCGACCTGCAGTGTTGGCAGGTCGCCCTTCTGCAGTGCTGGCGCGGCTCCTCTACGCAACGCTGGCAGGCGGTCGACCAAGCTGTGCTGGCGGTCGACCAGGCTAGCTGCAGGGTTGCTAGGTGCCTGATGTAGTCATTGTTGTCATTGCTTCTTCAATCATTCTGTAATTCCAACTTTGCTAGTGAAACTCTTGCCAACTTCTCACGTGAATGTGCAAGTGCTAAGGAACGCAAGCAAAGCTACGATCACTCTTAGTAGTTCGTGCCAACCCCCGTAGTCTAGCTCACTACCGTTGTAGAGTGACGCTCCGCATGGATGCTAGTGCAAACGACCACTTGAAATGTAACTATTAAATTTAAGGCCAAGACTGATCGACTTTCGGCACCCTCATATCGATCTCTACCGGAGGTGCTGCCAACGAAGTTCACGACAGTAATTTAACTGGGCATTTCAGCATCGATAGAACGCACATGTTAACTTAGCACAACTGTCAAAACGGATAAGTTAATTTGTAACAATTGCCCCCATTAGCCTTATCACAACCGTTACTTACCTCTCCGAGTGATGACGATCGACGTCGCATCTGACCATCAAGTGACCACGGACGGAAACCTTTAACATCTCAACCCGAAATACCATACACTTTCTTCCGTTTTGGGTTGTTTATTTTTCGAACGGCATGCCATCCGGATGGGGTTTTATTCTGCCTGCAGACATATTGTTGGGCTTCTTTGGCGGCCAGACTAATCGCTTGAGATTACATATATGTTGCTTGGTCGCAATCAGGACCTGCATATGGCTGGGCTGTTCTAGAAAAAAAAACGGTACTTGCAAGGTAATTTGGGAAACAACCCCTTGGAAACCTCTTGTCCAATTCTTGGCCAGGTCTTGGCAACAAGAATTCCGAACCTTTTTTTTTTTTCGGTGAACTTTGGGGCTTTCCGAGCCTCCGGTCCTTAACTATCCCCGCCTTATCAGAGGTCTGACCGGAGCCCTAACTAGCCTCAGACGCGGAAAAAGAGGTGACGATGACGTGAAGTGGAGGTTCGGCAGCTCTAACCTGATGTCTGACATAAGCCACTAAGGGCGGGTCAAGTTTAGATGTACCTGGTACGTTTAATGCAGTCCAGTACGTTAAAACGCGATTAAGAAGGATTGGCGTCGGTGGAAACTCGGAATCGTTTTTCACCCTTTTATAACGTGCTGGACCGCATTAAACGAACCTGGTACATTTAAACGTGACCCGCCCTAATACAAGACCCTCATACCATCTCGCGGATCTTCGCCATCATCGAATGCACATTGCTTGTCATCGTATCACGCAATTCTCGTGACCAGCTCTGCTAGCTCGTCCCTTTCTAGCTCGAACGTTCTATACACTTGCGGGAAGACGCGCCTCAGTTATGACAGCTACAGGGTCGGTGAAGGCGGCGAGGGGGGAGCAGACCTCGTCGAAATTGGAGGCCAGCTTCACTAATAGCAAGAGCCCGCGTAAGCGTCGGCGTTCCAGGCACTTGTTGCAGCGGACGCCAGTATTGCTCGTCGCGGCAGTCATCCTCACGTGGGAAGTGCTTTTCCACGCGCGCTTCCCGGACTTTGTCAGCCAGCCGCAACGAGCAATCGTCGAGTTCTCGCGAAGCTACATGAAGAGCCGTCGCGAGCCGTATTTGGCATTCGTCGGGAACGAGAGCACCTTGTTCGAGTTCTCCCACTCATGCGTGGACGCCCTTCGCGGACGCGCAGATGTGTTCAGGCCATCATACTTTTCACTTTTCAGCTTATTTGTACGCGATAGTACAAGGCCCACTTGTCGTGCCAGGCTCTGCCACGCGCTGCGACGGTGGGCCAAGTTGGCGCGGGAGCGGGAGTTGAGAAGCAGGTGCAGCGGCAGCGGCAGAGACTCGGGAACAAGCTGCGGCGCAAAGTCGCTCGTATCAAGGACGTTGTTGCGGACACCAAAAGCTCACAGCACCGCGCCTGACGGCGAGCAAGGAGCGAAGTCGGGCGATGAACTAGACTCGTTAGAAGCTGACCCATTGCCGGAGGAGGAGGTGGAAAAGCAGCAGGCTGCGGGCGTGGGGCAGATCTGCACGGAGGCGTGGAGGCGGGGCGTGCTAAGGCGGGTGCGCAGCAGCAAGTATATCCGGCGGCTGCTGGCGGAGGGAGAGACGAGCGTGGCGAGCATCAGCGCGGGTATAGACGCCGTGTGCGGGCGGACCAAGCACGTGGAGGCCATGCTGCTGAACCACAGCAGTGTTGCCACGCCAGCATGTGGCGACTGGCCCGAGGAGTGCTGGCCCGTGCCCCACATGCCCTTCGCCTCTCTCGCTGTATGCACGCACATCCCATGTGAACCCCCCTGCCATGCCATGCTGCTGATGTTGCAACGACCACCATTCTCCCTCCGTTCGCCCTCCCCTCCATCAATCGCGCTCCCTCGCACTCTGTCCTCGCGTGTGGGGCAGAAGCAGCGCGTGGTCTGTACTCCACTCCATGCTCGCCCACAATTGGCCTTGCGTCGTGCGCATCTCTGCCAGCACGTCCTTGGTGTGGGGGACCACGAGTACCTGCTGTTGCCCGTGACAGCAGGCGACACTGACCCCCCTCTCAGTAACTCCCTGCATCCACACCTGCCTCCGCGTCTCTTCGTTTCCCATGGCCCTCGTGCTCCCCATCAGGACTTCCCGCGGCGCAAGTACCTGGTGTTCGCCATGTCGGAGGAGCAGCTGAGCAACGCGCGAACACACATTGTGGAGGCGGCTCTGCTCGCGCGCATGAGCAACCGCATCCTCGTGCTGCCCAAGGTGCCATGCCGCCCAGCCCTCCTCACCACGCGCACACCTGCGTGCCGTGCATACAGCGTGAGGCAGCGTGCGCATGTCAATCGCCACCAGTGTGGTGCACGCGCTGCCTTGAATCGTGCACCACACATGCCTGCTCCATCACTGCCATTCCTCCTCTCCCCTCCCCTCAACCTCTCCATCTATGCTTTCGGACCGTTCTCCCCTCCCTCCCCCTCAGCTGCATTGCGTACCACACACCCCGTGTAATGTAAAAACACCCTAGACATGCACATGCGGGCCTCACCCCTTGGAGTGGCTCGTCAGTTTGACACACCGGCCACTTTGTTCGGCATTTCGGCTCGGGACGAGCCTGCCCTGTTTGGACGAGCCACGTGCCGGTGCTGTCTCGGCACTTTCTCATATCTATCCCCATGTTTCACTCCCCTAGTAACACCGCACCGCATCTCACGCCCCTCTCGCCCTCCATGTTGTGTGTCGTGCCACCACCTGTACCAGGCGAGTCGCAGCCATGTATCGCTGGGGCGGGAGCTGCCGGTGTGCGAGTACTGGGACCTCTCTCGCCTCGCAGCCGCCTCCGAGTGGGTGTCGCCGCAGTTCTTCCTGCTGCTCGCGCGCGCCACGCTCGCCAACCCCTCCGTGGCCTTCATGTGGGTGGAATCGCCATATCTCCAACGCCACGCCTTCCATTTCGGTACGCCCCTCTCCCTCCCTCCACCCCGATCAAGTGGTCCGTGCATTGGCGTACGTTGACTACAAGGCACACAAGATGCACAAGGCACACAAAGGGCACAAGAGGCACAAGGGGCACAAAGGGCACAAGAGGCACAAGGGGCACACAAGATGCACAAGGGGCACAAGGTGCACAAGGGGCACACAAGGCACATAAAGTGAGCAAACTACAAGCACAGCCAGCGAGGCGTTCACAGGACCTATGGAACGAAGGCGCCGCCAGGGACATTGAAGCAGTGTGCAAGGGAGAGGCCCATTGTCGGGGGAAGTGAGAGGTAGTTCACCCTCGTGCTGCAGAGCGTTGGCAGCGTGGCGTTGACGGCGTAGCTGACGGCGTGGCGTGGCCCTGCTGCACTGCCACTGGTGTGTAGCGCAGGTGGCTTCACACATGAATGGGCTTCACACGAGATGAATCACGGGCTTTGCAGCATGAATGAGCACGGCGCCTGCAGCTCCATGGCAGTCCCCTCCATGCATGGGAGACTGCAAACCCCCATCCTTGACGGCGAGGCCATGATGAATCTTGGCAGGGCGAAGCATGCTGTCTTTCCCCCGTTCACTCTCATCCTCTGCCTCCTCTCTCCCCATTCACTCTCTCTCAACGACTCACTATGTGTCTCCACTCCTGCCCGCAGTCCCATGTCTCCCTCAGTGCCCTTGCGCGTTGTCTCACTTGCATTGCTGCAGCTCGCCTGCAGTCACAATGTCTCACATCCGTCCACGTGCTCTGCTCCCTCCGCCCCCGCTGCTTGTTCTGCCCGTTGGTGCATGCATGGCGGCACAGACCTGGTGACGGAGTTCCTGGGGCAGCTCATGCCGTTCACGGGGGGCCACGTGCCCCTGGAGGCCAACACGCTGCCGGTCACCATGCCCACCACCAACCAGAAAGTAGCTGCTCTGCTCAATACCTCGTATGTGCTGCCTACCCGCCTGCCTGCCTACCCGCCTGCCTGCCTACCCGCCTGCCTGCCTACCCGCCTGCCTGTGCGGTGCAGTGGAGGGCAGGCCCACCATGGCACTGGTTGGCTGGGACTCTTGGCTGGTTCAGCAATACGTAGTACTGCCACTCCTCACTCCTGCTGCTCTTTCTCCTGCTGCCACTCCTGCTGCCCCTGCTTCTGCTACTGCTCCTGCTCTGCCTGCCTTTTGCTGCTCTGCTCTGCGTGGGCGCATGCTACAAGTCTTGAGCCACTGCATTGCCCACTGGTGACCTCGTCTCCCTGCCCCTACCTGCCACCTTGTGCCGCACACATATCCCTTCAATGCAATTCCCTCTGCCGAATGTCAGTACCCTTCATGGATTTGGGGCATCAACCTCCCATCTTTCCCTCCCTTCCTGGCCCGCCCCATCCCATCTTCCCCTCTCCCTGTCTCAGCGTATCCCCTAAGCCAGTCGAGTAGGATCTGCCATATGGAGAGCAGATCGACGGCTGGGCACATTCGTCTTGCCACTTCCCTGCACCTCGTCACGCACAATTCTCCCCCGCATCTGCCATATGGCTTCACACAACTCCCACCAACCCACTTTGCCGAGCCATACTCGCACCTCCTACTAACTTTACCGTTCTGGCTCCCATACTCATTTCCTTTCGCATGTCCATCCCCTTGTCTGCGCGCGCACTTGCACATGCGCGATGGCAGGGGGGATAAGGACATAGTGGTGTGGTTCAAGACGACGTGGGAGCGCGTGGAGTTCAGCAGCAACGCGGACGACGCCGCCTTCCCCCTGCTGCCCTACAGCCGCCACCACCACGCCACGGCTGCGCGCCTGCTGGCTCTGCTGCCGCGCCCCTTGATTGCCGTGCACTTCCGCTCCGAGTTCATTGCCTTCCGCGTGGTGAGACGCGGGGCGCAGGGGGAACGGGGAAGGTGGGACAGCATGTGCTGAGTGACAGGCTAGAGTGCGTGAGAGCCGTAAGTAGTCAGAGTGGTGCGTGGTGTGGGGTGCGTTGTGAAGAAGAAAGGCTGTGTGTGACAGGTATACCAAGAAGTATGAGGTTAGCAGTAAGAGGGAAAGGGAAGGGGAGGAATCCGACTGAGCGTGTTCTTCGTGAGGAAAACGAATTATGTGCTCCCAAATTACAAAGCATTAATAGTGGGAGAGCTTGTACGAGCGAAATAGCTTCTGTTGAAAGTAGTTCAGTGCAACCCCCACTCACGTTTTCCCCTTTTCATTTGCCACACCACTTCCTGTTGCGGTGTGGTGTGGTGTGGTGCGGTGCGGTGTGGTGCAGCAAGACGACATGCAAGCGCAAGGGCAGCAGGCGAATGCATCGATGGTGCAGGAGAGACTGGAGTGGTGCGTGGGCGAGGCAGAGAAGCTCATCACCCGAGTCAGGGACCTGCTCTCCCACCCCTCCGCTGCCGCCCACCCTGCATCTGCCCTCGCTGCTCTTGCTGCTGAGGCCGCTGCCCCTGCTTCCAGCCCCAGTACCGGAAATCTCAGAAGCTTTCTTGGCGACAGCAGCAGCAGCAGCGGCAGCGGCAGCAGGGCGAGCAGCAAGGTGTCGGTGTTCATTGCAGCGGACGTGCCGTTCAACACATCGGCAGCGCCAGCGCGGTCGGACTCGTGGCAGAGCATGGTGAAATGGTACAAGGGCGACCAAGCTGTGCTGCTCTCGTCGCTCGCCGCCCTGCGGCGCCTGAGGAGGAACGTGCAGGGCACGGTGATGGTGGACGAGCTCATGCCCCATGTCAACACCCTTGATCCAGGTCTGCTGCTGCTCACGCACACGCACACGCACACGCACATGCACACGCACACGCGCACGCGCACGCACACGCACACGCACATGCACACGCACACGCACACGCACACGCACACGCACATGCACACGCACACGCGCACGCACACGCACACGCACACGCACACGCACAGGCGATGCTCGTTGGTGTTTGTGCGCTGACACAATGTGCTGAATGGTAGGACGTGCTTCTAACAATGGGTGTCTGACAGAGCCCCCTGGGGGAACGACGCGTGGGAAGCGCATAGCACATGCAATGGCCCTTGGATAGGAAGCACCTTGGGCCGGGTCACCACCGGCCCTCCGTCTTTCCTAGGGCGACACTCATGTTGACAGCCACTAGCTCAGTCTGCAGCACCAGGCTGGTTTGTGCAGTGGTGCTGGTGGCGACTGTGTGCTGTGCAGTGGTGGTGGTGGCCACTGCAGCATGCTGGTGAGGCTGTTGCACTTTAAGCAATCCCATCCACGTAATCCACACTCCGCCCGCTGTGTCTGCTCCCCGCCCGCCTTCACCAGCAGAACAACAACTCGTTTCCTAGGGGATGGAGCAGCTGCTTCTCTTTTTGACCAGGCACCTCATTCACCACATCCAATGCACACCCTCCTTGCTCATGCACACGGCTGCCTGGCTTCCACCCTTGAGAATCATCCTTCCTTTCCCCTCACCCTCCCCCCTCCACCATACCTGGGTGCACGTGTGGGCATGGCAGGTGTGGTGGCGATCCTAGACAAGCTGGTGTCTGCGCATGCTGATGTGTTCCTCGCAGGGTCGTGGAACTGCGGAGGGGGAAGAGGGTACGAGAGTGACATTATAAGGCATCGCCGCCAGTTCAACCATTCTGATAGTACTCTCATGCGATGGGCCGAGGGGTGAACGAAATGACTTGAGATGAGCTCATGCTGTAGCAACTTCAGTGTTGTGTTGTGGGATGTAGTGATGGCTACAGTGAGGGTATTGGTCTCTCTTATTTCAAAGCTTCAGGTTTTGCAATCAACAAGCTAAATAACGTCGATTTGAGTGCACTAATGAATGGTGATGTGCGTTGAAAGCGCGATGTTTCTGCACCATGAGCTTCAAATGGGCAAAAATCTTGCTCCAGAAGCTCATAAGAAGTGCGCACGAAGCGAATATTTTCAATATTTTCAGTGTAATAGTGATTGATAACCCAAGATTGTGAAAGCTTGAGATTTGCCTTGCAAATGCAAATGGAACCGCTTTGTTAAAACATTCGAACTTGGGTTCGATTCGGTACAGAGCGGTACCTCCGCTTTGTGACACAAATGTCCAGACAGGAATGAACCCTAAGCATTGTACAACATACCGTAAGAGCTACCGCATGCTAGGGTGGGGGGGGCGGAAAACTTGAAATTGAAATATCAAAATGAAAACGTAGGTGAAAGGCCATGTCGCCGCCGCAGGCGGACCGAGCGAAACTCGCATTGGTTGCTCTCGCCATAGCGTCCGCGATGCCCGCGTGTGTCGTCTGTCTCCCGACGTCCACGCGCACACCAAGCGGAGTGTCGCACGACGTGTTCGCCGCGACGTGGCAGCTCCTACTGGATACCCTCGCAAACTCGCGTCATTCCGGTTTTAGAGCGCTTCTACAACATTCTGCTGTCCGCAGCGCCATCGGCGGCGCGCCGTTTACGGTCTTCGTCCCGTCCGACGAGTCTCTGATGAGGCTGCCAGGCGCGATTGTCGCCGTTTTACGGAAGGCGTCGAGCATCGAGACTCTCCGCCAAGTCATGATGTATCACTTCGTTCGCGAGAAGATCTCGCGCTTCGTGTGGGAGGGCTTTGGCGGACCGTGCAAGGCGAGAGCGTGGTGCTGCACGTGGACGGCGCTCGGTTCACTGTATCGCATGTGCCTGTACTGGAATACGCTGCCGCACTCTGGACCAACTTCGTCATGCACACCACGGACGGGCTGCTGTTCCCCCCCAGCACCCGCCGCGCGCAGCTCACTGGCGCGGAGGGCCGCGCGCCGGGGGCCGCAGCTCAGCTGGCGGCGGTGCGCGCGACGTCGCAAGAAGAGGGCTCCACGTGGGGAGGGGGGAGCGGAGCAAGTGGCGGAGATGACTATACAGAGGAGTACGAGGAGGCCTATGACGAGGACGTATGGCGGCGGGAGGCGCTCCAGCAGTACGACTCGCTGTACCTATACGCGCCAGCTCCCGCGCCCTCCGCACCATCATCGTGTGTGTAATGCAACCATTGGGTCCTATGGCGCCACTAGTAAGCATAATGGATGACGGTAGTAGTGTGAAGTCGACTTGTAATGAGCAGCAGTCAGCCCGGCTGTAGTAGGCGGTCAGGGCAGCAGGCGAAACGGTGGCATGTCCTCCCAGCATGCAGCTGGGAGATGTGTGGCGAAGACGCAGTGAGGAAGCACATGCGACACTGCCTTGTTGTACGTGCAGTGCAGCCATGTGGCAATGCACACGAGAGCAGAGCAGTGCCACCATTTCACCAACACTCTCCCCCCGCTTCCCCCCTCACTCCTCTCCCCTCCTCCCTCTCAGTAGCTGGTTACGACCATAAGACGAATGTCCTCCCCTCCAAATGGTCCTCCCGTGCGCGCAGCTCTTTGAGCGAGCGCCATGGCAGGGATTGTGATGGGGTGTGTGGCGGGAGTTGGCATCATCGCTGCACTCCTCTACTACCTGCTCGGTGCCCGCCACAACAAAGACGTGCGCTCCGAGCCACTGGAAGGTACGGGGCACATTCCTGTCCTCACGGGGCACATTCCTGTCCTCACGGGGCACATTCCTGTCCTCACGGGGCACATTCCTGTCCTCACGGGGCACATTCCTGTCCTCACGGGGCACATTCCTGTCCTCACGGGGCACATTCCTGTCCTCACGGGGCACATTCCTGTCCTCACGGGGCACATTCCATGCTGCCCACGCCCTTCGTCTTACGCTCCTCTTCCAACCCCTTCTGCGTTCCTCTCTTCTTGCTGCTCTTTCTCTCTTCTCCTCCCCAACCCAATCTTCCTTCTCCTTCGTGTCTCCAATCTTCAATGCCTTGCTGAATGTATGGCCCCGCTGCCTCCCCTCTCCAACCCCATTCCTCCCCTCCCCCACCCCTCACCCACCTTCAGACCCAGAAAAATCTGCAGACATGGCAGCAGCAGGAGCGGGTAAACGTGCCGCCACTTATGGTGCCACCGCTGCTGATGCTGCTGCTGCTGATGCTGCTGCTACTGCTGCTGATGCTGCTGCTGCTGCTGCTGCTGCTGCTGCTGCTGCTGCTGCTGCTGCTGCTGCTGCTGCTACTGCTGCTGCTGCTGCTGCTGCTGCTGCTGCTGCTGCTGCTGCTGCTGCTGCTGCTGCTGCTGCTGCTGCTGCTGCTGCTGCTGCTGCTGCTGGTGCTAATGCAGCAGCAGCGCCGCATTAGCCCTTACCAGCAGGGGCAGGCGGGCCGCCACAGTGCCGGCAATACCCACTGGCGGTGCTGAAGCAGGCCACAGGGAACTGGGCGGAGGGGCAGCACATCGGCAAGGGGGGGTGCGCGGACGTGTAACGAGCCGTGGACCCGGCAGACCCCTCGGTGGCATGGGCCGTGAAGCGGGCCAAGGTGCTCACCAACGACTTCAGGCGCGAGGGGCCATGCGCTCGGCGCTGCATGGGGCCATGCGCTGGTCTTCCTGCTGCATGCATCAACTGATGGCTTACACGGCTACTTTAGTGGGCTGAAACAAGCCGTCACCTCACAAGTGTTTTGACATAGCCCACTAAGATGTTTGTACCGGCACTGGAATTCAGGCACAGCCTCCCATCTCTCTCCTTCCCCCACTCCCCCCCACACCTTCCCCCCCATTGCTCCACCCTCCATCCTGCTCACCTCCACGTGGACTGGCCTCGGCCCTTCCCCTCCCCATCGCTGCACCACATGGTAGATAAACGAGATGGCGTCGAAGCACCATCCGAACCCGGCACGGCTGCTGGGGTACTGTGTGGACATGGATGTGGCGAAGGAGCGCATGGAGCAGATCGTCATCTACCACTTGGTGCACAACGGCGACCTCGAGAAGTGGGTGGGCACCGACGCCGCCAAGCAGCTCACCCTGGCGCAGCGCATGGACGTGCTCATAGATGCACAGCTTCGGTATCGTGCACCGTGACATCAAGCAGGCCAACATTCTGCTGCACGACCACATGCACGCCAAGGTGGCGCACTTTGGGCTCGTGCGCATGGGCGAGGGCACCTCCGTGTACACCACACAAGTTCTCGGCACACCAGGCTATGTGCACCCCGCTTATGCTAGCACTCGCAAGGCCACAACCACCACTGACGTGTTCAGGTGCGGATTACTGTGCTGCGCATGTGCTGTTGTCAGTGGGCCTGGCCCATATGTGGTGGAACGCGTTCGGTTGGCTGATATGCTCCTTGTGTGCCTGCAATGTTTGGTGGCAGCTTTAGCATTGTGATTTTGGAGGTGATCACTGGGAGGAGAGCGCTTGTGAATACAGGCAGTGGGAGCAGCAAATTCAACAAATGGGTGAGTGACCCCTCACTTGACTTCCTTCTGTATTTATGCAGTTTGTGGTGCAGCCAGTGGGCTGTGGGTTTCAACGTGTAAGGCAGGTTGTCATCCAAGGGGCACTGTGCTGCGATTCCTTTCATGCTCCACCCAACGCTGTATCCACCAACCTTAGCTACTCATTCACATCCCCGCCGTCCCTCCTCTTCCTCCCTCCTCCCCCACGGCAGGCTAAGCAGGCGCTAGAGACGAATGATCTGTCGCGCCTGAGGGATGCGCAGCTGCACCCGCCCTTGCCGGACGACATCCTGCTGCGAGTTGTGCGCTTCGCCATCAGCTGCACGCTCATGCCCACTGCCACGCGCCCCACCATGAGCCAGGTGTGCAACGAGCTCAGAGCCATCCGACAGGAATGCTTTGGCGTGGAGGAGAATATAGCAGCGTACAAGGTGGATGACAAGCTGCGCAGGCAGGAGGCACAGGCGTCTATTCCATTGGAGGAACAGCTTGACTACATCAACTCGATTGTTTCCTCAACGGTTTACACTTGAATCATTCTCGTTTGGCAAAAGAAGTGTGAATCGCTCATTACGGGTAGTAGTCGTTGAAATTTGGGACAATACCGTAATGTCAAACTGTATACGGTATTTGTAAATGTTTTGTAGGCAAAGTTGGGTTGGGTTAAGTTACTCTGTAGCGGGTGTACGGTAGTACATGAACCATGTTTGCCTATTACTCATTCATTTTATTCTGACATGGTATTGCCAGTACCGTACGTTTAGGATACGCGCATCTACTACGCCCGCCCTGGCCTACCCTAGCTCGCCCCTAGCCAGATCCCTAGAGCGCCTTGTGAGTGCCCAGTCGAGCTGCTCCCAGGTCCCGCCAACCCGTCGTGCCTTAGGCCCCGTCGGCAGGCCCCAAAATATCAGGGTAAAATACCCTGATTGCCCTGACTGGCGGCCGCTTTTTTTGGGGTTACCCTGACCCAGTCAGCCTCCCAGACTTCTTACCCTGAGTCAAAAAGTGCTAGTTTTTTTTTACCCTTATGAAATCCGAGTTAGCGATGGTTTCCCCTGACTTCGACGCCCTAGGCTCGACGCGCTAGCGTGCAGAAGCCGCCTGAGCCCGCCCCTCCCGCACGCCCTGCCGCTGCCGCTCGCGCGCTTGTTGCTGCCCGCGCGCTTGCTGCCGCCCGCGCGCTCTTCGTTGTTCACGCGCTCGTTGCAGTCCGCTCGCGCACTTCCGCCCGCGCGCTTGCAGCTGCTCGCGAGCTCGCTGCCCCGCCCCGCCGACCGCCTGCTGCTGAAGCTCGCCGCCCGCACGCCGCTCGCTGCTGCAGCTCGCCGCTTGCCGCCCGCTGCTGCAGCCTGCCACCCGCGCGCTGCTCGCTGCTGCAGCCTGCCGCTTGCCTGCCGCCCGCGCGCCGCCTGCTGCTGCAGCGGGCCGCTTGCCTGCCTCCCGTGCATGCCGCCTGTGCCTGCCGCCTGTTCCTTCCGCGTGTGCCTGCCGCCCGTGCATGTCGCCGTGTCTGTTGCCCGTGCCTGTCACCCGCGCCAGCCGCCCTGCTCTACCGTCTCCTGGTGCGGCCGTGACTCCTCCTCCACTCTCTCCTGCTGCGACTGCAACTGCACCCGCTGCTGCACTCGTGACTCCTCCTCTACTCTCTCCTGCTGCGGCTGCAACCGCACCTGCTGCTGCTGTGACTCCTCCTCTACGCTCTCCTGCTGCTGCGACTCAGACTGCTGCTGCTGCTGCTGCTGCTGCTCCTGCTCCTGCTGCTGCTGCTGTGCCCTCTCAAACCGCTCACGCTCCTCCCTCTCCAACCGGAGGAGACGCTGCTCACGGGTAACGAAAAGTACAGTGCGCGGTGTAGGCGCCACAGTGCCAGTGCCTCCAGCTCCAGCACTCCCAGAACCAGCTCCTCCACCCCTGACACCCCCGGGGCCTCCAGTACCTCCCGCAGGAACCCCGAGGCTCCGCAGCAACCGGCCGCAGAGAAGAACGAGGAGGGAACTGCGGGACGGACGAGAAGCCAGGGGGTGACGCGGGGCGAGGCCGCCGAGCCGAGGCTGCCGTGTCCTCCACGGGAGTGACCTCCACGCCCACAGCCCCTGCACCCCCAGAGCCGACACCACCAGCTCCTGCAGCCCCAGTACCCTCACCCTCCGCAACTGCACCTCCCGCACCCCCAGACACGACAGGGACTGGACGCTGCGGGGGGGGCGACTGCGGAGTGACGTGCGACACACCTGACAGGGGCAGGACGCGAAGGGTGAGGAACAGCGGGGGGGAAAAGGCCTCAGTACCTCGGTGGGGGCGACTCCTGTAGTAACAGACAGACTCGTTGAACGTGACGTCCTGAGAAGCGAAGAACTGGTAGGTGACCAGGTCGTAGAACACCCAGTCGGGGGCGTCCAAAGAAGCCAAGAAAGACGCAGGCACGAGTGCGCGGAGACAACTTGTTCGCGCCAGGGGCGCGAACGTGAGCCAGAGAACCCCAGACACGGAAGTCAGCTGCTACGCCTGGGGAACCTGTCCAAAGGGAGACCGGCGTCACCCGTGGCCGTGCGTCACTAGGCCACAGGTTCAGCTGGTGCGCGGCGTAGCGGACTGCCTGAGGCCACAAGAACTGAGGGGCACCGGCATGGCACATGGAGGTCAGGGAAACCTCCATGACCAGGCCGATGCGTCGCTCGGCTACCCCGTTCTGCTGCGGCGAGGCTGGTAGCGTGTAAGACTGGATGATCCCCCGACCCTGACACAACGTCTCCAGGCGAGTGGAAGAAAACTCACCACCACAGTCCGAGTGTAGGCGAAGCCCACACAGACCCTGGGCGCCACCCCACGCTAGTAGCCACGTCTCGAGGACGGTAGGCACGTCGGCCTTCCGTCGCAAGGGGAAAAACGTGGTGTATCGGGAGTAGTCGTCCACCACAATCAGGAAGTAGCGCTCCTGACGTGGGCCAAGGACCGGGGAGGGGCCCCAGACGTCTAAGTGCAGGGTCTGGAAGGGAGCCGTGGTGGGGGGGAACGAGGAGGAGTGAGGGGCAGCGCTCTGCCGACCCTCGACGCAAGGAGTGCACGGCGGCACAGGCGAGCGGGGAAGCGGTGCAAGCGACTCTGGGAGACCTGAGACCAGACGGTAACGTGCCATCCTACTGAGACGTGGGAACGACGGGTGACCTAGACGGTGGTGCCAGAGGACCGACGGGTGGGTGAGTGACCGACAGTCACACGACACAGCAGCTACCTGCCCTGACCTGACCTGACCTGACCCAGTGTGGTGGGACCCAGTGTGTAGCGAGTACAGACCAGAGCCCGGCTCCCTGTGAAAAGTGGCCAGAGGGGCACCAGTGGTACCGACTGTGCAGGAGGCAACAGGCTCGTCCACTTGGAAAGTAGTGACTACACCTATGTCGTGGAGGTGACTGACACCCATCAGGTTCCTGGAGAAACCCAGAGGGGGCCGCCGGACACGGGAGAGTGGTGGTGCTGTGGGCAACTACAGGTCCCACAGAAGGGTCAGCCAAGGCAACAGTGACTGGAGTGCGCAGTGGTGTGAGGTCAGTACAATCGCGAAAGAAACAGCTAGACGCTCCAGAGTCTAGGGTGAAGGAAAGTTGTGCAGTCTGTGAGGTCGCACCCGAGCCAGCTACAACGGCTGGTGCTAGACTAGTGGTAGCTGCAGTTCCTACACAAAGAACCTCAGAGGCGCCTGGACTGGAAACAACACACGCACCAAGACTGGAAACACAGGTCTCTACTCGTGCAGCTGGGAACGGTCCTAGACCAGGTAGGTGAGACTCAAATGGTGCAGTAGTGCGCTGGCGAAGTCGCGAGGGCCAGTGTGGTGTAATAGCGTGAGGACCAAACGCTCACGGTGGAGGTCGTCGAGTCGACGGTAGCAGCTCGACGCAGAGTGGTCAGGACTCCAGCAAGTAGTGCCAGCACTAGGGCCTGTCAGGGCCCGGTACCCGCAGGGGCCGACGTCTCGCCCACTGCTAGCTGAGCCACTGCTGGGGGCTCCACACTTGGACCCGCAGGTCCCCACTGCCGGGAGTGCTGCGGCTGGCCCTGCTGCTGTAGAACTCTAGTACACGCCATGTGAGTAGCTAGAAACGGGGGGGGTGCTTACAGGTGGGCCTAAGGTGCTGCTGGTGCTGCTGGCCGTAGCCTAAGCTGCTGCTGGTTCTGCTGGGGGGGCAGCCTAAGCTACTACTGGTTCTGCTGGTGGCAGCCTAAGCTACTGCTGGTTCTGCTGGTGGCAGCCTAACCTGCTGCTGGTTCTGCTGGTGGCAGCCTAAGCTGATGCTGGTTCTGCTGGTGGCAGCCTATGCTGCTGCTGGTGTTTCTGGGGGTAGCCTAAGCTGCAACTGGTACTGCTGGTGGCAGCCTAAGCTGCTGCTGGTTCTGCGGGTGGCAGCCTATGCTGTTGCTGGTTTTAAGTGGGGGTAGCCTGAGCTGCAACTGGTACTGCTGGTGGCAGCCTAAGCTGCTGGTTCTGCTGGTGGCAGCCTGAGCTGCTGCTGGTTTTACTGGGGGTAGCCTAAGCTGCAACTGGTACTGCTGGTGGCAGCCTAAGCTGCTGCTGGTTCTGCTTTGTGCGGTTCAATGCGGTTCAGTGCGGTTCTGCGCGGTTCAGTGCGGTTCTGCGCGGTTCTGTGCGGTTCAGGTGGGGCTGCTGGACAGGTGGGGCTGCTTGCGCATTTCTAGCAGCTGCTGGCACTGCTAGCACGGTTCTAGCGGCTGTTGGCGCTGCTAGCACGGTTCTAGCGGCTGTTGGCGCTGCTAGCACATTTCTAGCGGCTGCTGGCGCTGCTAGGACGGTTCTAGCGGCTGCTGGCGCTGCTAGCACGGTTCTAGCGGCTGCTGGCGCTGCTAGGACGGTTCTAGCAGGTCTGGGGCAACTATTTCCAGGTGGGGCGACGGGTTTCAGGTCTGGGGGTGGCGGATTTCTGGTGTGGCGGCGGTTTTCTGCTCGTGGGGCGGCAGATCGCGGGTGAGGCGACTGCTAACAGGGCGGGCGGCGGGTAAGGCAGCGGGTGGGGCCGCGTCTAATGGGTGGGGCGGCGGTTACGACGGTGGGAAACGGGTGGGGCGACGGGTCGCTCGTGCGCGCGGCTGCTGCTGTGCGTGCGTGCGACTAACGACGAGGCCGCGGGGCCCGCTAGCGAAGCGGCCTCGGGGCCCACGAACGAAGGGCCGCGGGGCCCGCTAACGAGAGGCCGCGGGGCCCGCTAACGAAAGGCCACGGGGCCCGTTAACTAACAGCCGCGACGGGTGACGGGCGACGGAAAAAAAAAGGAGAAAACGGTCGCGATCGACGGGGGGAAACGGGCAACGGGCGACGGGGGGGGGGGGTCTACGGGCGACGGGGCCTAAGGTAAGCGCGCTACGGGCGGTCTAGGACGGGGCGCGACTAGGTGGGCCCATGATAGTCGAGTGAATTTTCCTAAGGAGAAAATCTCGCTAGGGCTAACCTAGCTCTATACCATGTCACAATGTAAATTGCCTAAAACAGGAAATGCAAACAAGATATATGCAAAAC